ACGATTCAAGTATCTGTCCAGATATGGGCGCACGACATTAAAGTCCTCATATAATAGTATGCAGACAATGTCTGTAAACGTGTACAGGGCATAACCAGCCCACAACGCTTGGCTTATATCCGAGGGCATAACGCAGCTTGTGTCCAGGAAGGGACCGCGAGAAAGAGGAATAGAGAGAGATTGAACAAAGAGAGTATCGTCAGTGTCTGTGAGAACGACACCAATTGCGAGCAGCTACGAGTACAGAGAGGTATTTCAGACAAGCTACAAAGTAGATGGCCACGTAAACGCCGCCATGGATCGTTAAACTGAAATCTGTCGGAGCAACCCTGTGTTAAGGGGTTCAACGAACGGGTTTCTTCATTTTTTTGGATCATTCTGCGGCGAAACGAGTCGGGTTTGCATGCTGAGTCCTCTCTTTTGCGCTCAGTGCAGGCTCCAGACTACGTTTGAACCTGGGTTTGTTAAGGAATCTTAGGTTCGGGCCTAGATTCGTTAAGAAGTCTCTAGGTTCCAGGCTTAGATTCGTTAAGAACTCTAGCTTTGAGCTTAGGTTCGTAAAAAATTTAGATTTGAGCCTAGATGCATTAAAAGTCCTAAATTTGACCTTAGATTCATTAAGAACTATAGATTGGAGCGTTATTCCCGAGGAAATCGAACATGAAATTTATCGAACACCCGTGGAGTCGGATACGACTTCAGTGTTTCGTCTGCCCACAACTTACTGTTTCTACTTACTGTGATCGTTACGTCCGTCACATTTCTGTAACCTCCCACTTTATCAATTCCCAACTTTCCTTTCAAGGGAAGGACCCTAAAAGTATTTATAGCCACTATAATAAACCAATTTTTTCTTAAATCATAGAAATTTCTTGCTAATACTTTTCACTTATGTACTAAAAAAATTACTCAAAGTTGCGTACACGCAACATTTTACTCACACAAACAGTACCAATCCAAAAATTCTTTTAGTACCATTTATATTCTTCCTCGTACACTTTTATAAATAATAAATAATTACCTGTATGTGTAAAAATCGTCCCATTTCACTGTTTGGGATCCAATGGGTCAAACGAACAAAAGGAATTCAGGAGCGAAAAAAACGCCGAAGACACACCGTTTTCCTCTTCGACTAAACGTTCATGGAGACTTTCAAGAATATTCATGGTCCGATACGGTCGCGAAAGCCTATGATGAACGAGCTTTCCGCGGAGATCGGACTCCCGCGAAGGGGCGTAAGAAAAACTTCTGAAACTTGTGCATTCGGGCTCACGGACGGTCTGCGTCGGTGAATAATGCGAACGGATCCATGGCAGTAATGTGATTTATAGCGAGCAATGAAATATAGTTGATTCATTCGCGGGAAAATTGGGACGTGCGCGCTTGGCTCGATCGGTGAAGCATTTTTCACGTTTCACGCCGCTTTCGACCGCATTTATGTGACGCTTGTGTCACAGAAAGCACGGTAAAACGACGCGCAAAATGTATAGGTACGCTCTTTGTCATACCGTTGAATACGGAACCTGTTCTCCACACGGGAACTGATGTAACGTGTTACCACGTTCTAACAAGGGAACTTTGGTAACCCGAAAAATCCGATTTTTCTCTTTGAAACTTTGCAGGTTTTCGGGTCAACTCGACTAAAATATCAGACGCGACAGTTGTTGTGCTAGTTTTTCGTTCTTTCGGGTGAAAACACGCCTTAAAGGATAATTTGTGTTTTCTTATTTTCCTGCGTATCTCGAAACCTGTAGTAGATACAAAAGAATTGTCACAACGAGACTTTAATGGATTTTTCTGATCTATGAATCATTAATTAATTAAATAATTTTTTGACAACTTCATTGCACAGTTTTATAGAGCATGAAAATCCATTAAATTCTCATTGTAATAATTCTTTTATATCTACTATGATCTTCAAGTTCTATGGGAAAATGGGAAAACCCACTTTAAGGCATGTCTGCACGGTCCACTTGAGACCGTATTTCGGTCGAACTTATCGTGGCCACTTTCACTACGATCGTAAGCTTTCTGAAAGTGATTCCCGTTTGTGCTAATTCCGGTATTGTTTATCTCGCGTAATGTCCTCACGTGTTCCGAGTTCTTCTTGGTTCAGTTACGATAATAGCGTATTACACGCTCTTCGTTTACCACGCACGCATTTGCAGTGTGTATATGTATGAAGGCGAAAGTGTCCGTTTGTGTGTGTCTCCGACGTTCAATCTCACATCATTACTCATTTCGGTTAGAATATGTCTCTAATTGCGCCTTCCTTAATTACTCACAGCCGGGCCAGGGCGCGCTCGGCAGATCCCGGAAATGAGAACGTAATAAGACGTCATCGCGCGCGTGTACCCAGACCAGCTGACTCGGCTTCCACTAGGGGAAAAATTGACGTAGGGAAAAGGCCTCCGACCATTTGAATTCGGAAGTTTCTGAAGTTTATGCTAAATTAACATGCATTTTAACATTTATTTCAGTACTTGAAATAAATTTACCAAATGGTAAGAGGCCCTTCTCCTACGTCACTTTTTCCCTAACGGAAGAGCTTTCTACCATTCTCCTACTGCCTTAGAAATTTATACCAAATTAACATTCGATTTAACATTTATTTCAGTACCTGAAGCCAAAATTGAGTGTACACTTGCTACCGTTTCGACGGTGTTTCCCCCAGTCGACCTTCTTCTCTATCCTCCATGTTTCGGCGGGAGCTTCAATCGAGGCTGCGAGTGTATCGATGTTCCGACCCCCAGGGTTCTTTCATCTGGGACTCTCATTTGCCGAGTTTTTTTGACGGCCCCGCGAATGTATCACGGCGCCTGGCAAATATTAATGGATACATACACCATACGTATATCGGGGTGGTCTGTCGCTCATTGTCCGCCTCTCACGGAATCAATACGGAACGCGTTGTTTGTGGAGGACCTGGCACACGCACATACATACACATAGATACATTAGACACACATATACATAGGATAGATACACACCAATAATCCTTCGAGCCCCGCAGGTCCTTCCACAGATGGTTCTGGACGTTATGAAACCGCGGACCCGGGAGCGGTCCTGCTTTTTGTTCCTCTGTGGTCGATCACACGCTCGGGTTCTTTCGACCATTATCGTCACGGAAAAACCATCCCCCCCCCCCTCAACCCGTTGACGGAATATTTTCGGATGATCGACGACCACCCTGTTCCTTCGACAAATTGTCTCTCTGTATGTAGAGAAATAGATCTTAAAGGAATTTACTTTGGGGCCGTGTCCTGGTGGAAATCAGGCTATTCGAGAATGTACAGGTACAGTAAATCCTCGATGAGTGTTAAACATGAATATAGGGTAAACGCACCAATGAATGAACACTGTAGAGATTTTGTAATTGTATAAGTCTAATTTTAAATGATAATAATATTAATGAATATCAGACACATGAAAATTAGATTTTTTAATATTTATATCTTTTTATAATGTAACATAAGCGATTTTTCAACTGTTACGCATTCTAATAGGTCGCTTTTGAATAATCGCCACTTTATCGGTGTCACGCGACCTAGAATTCTGGTCTGCATGAGATTAAGATAAATCTTCTACGCGATTGGTTACGAAGGCCTCCGTGAAAGAAAATGGATGAGGGAGAACGTAAAGTCTTGATCTATATCTTGCGCCGTTACTATAGACGGGCGGGAGCACAAGTCTTTATCTGAATAAAAGATTTTAAATGACGAATTCGAGGTTGAAGACTTTTCGCCGGTTACTCATTCTATCGAGATAACGATTGTATCTATAGAGCACGATTATGTTCTATTATGAACCAGTGAAGATCCAAATAATTATTCCATGAAACGATGTAATCTCTACTATTGTAGAACCCCATTATCGGAAACACGTTTTAAATGGATTTTTTGTTGATGTATACATACGTTCATATTGTGTAATAAATAAAATGATTCTCCGTTTCTGTCAGTTTGCATAATCGAGGTCTTACTTTCGACTGGCTGTGAATGTAGGATGGCAAATAATTCCATAAATATTTCGACTAGTTACAGTATGTAACATACTTACAATTAAATTAAAGAAAGTCTTTACGGTCGAACGTGAGATTACCACTGTATTTAACAATTCAAAATCAAACCTAAATATATAAATCAGTTACCTTCCATCATTTTAGAGTTTAAACAAATTTTTCTGAACGTGTTTAATTGGTTACTTCATGAAGATTCGTTCCCCAAGCGGTGAGAGTGACGACGTTTGTTCGTCAAATTTTATACGGCTCTTTCGAAATTGTTTCGGCGAGCCACATTCGACCACGGGGACATATTCCTTTCTATTTATCCGTTCGGCTGGTTTCTCTCGAGCCACCTGGCCGCAGCCACGAAATTGCAATCCCGGCACAATGACTAGACGTTGCCTGGAACGTCGGTTAGCAGCTTACGTGTTTTCATCGCGAGCGATGAGCGACGTGATCCGCGAGACTATTATCATAATATGTACTTTCATTACGGTAAGGTCTTCATTACCTTACCGCGATTCGATCTGCCCCGGATCAATATTATTCCCCCGCTTGCGTTTCATTAAAGGGGTTAGGCGACCTTGGATGAGACAAAGTCATAGTCAATTTGGACAATTTTTTTTCGGGGAAGGTAATGAAATAAATGGAAAAGTCAATGTAAAGCCATTTATTGTACAACTTCACGTAGCTCGTGAAAAAATACATTCAGATATGTACTATGATATGACCCTCAAATGACCTTGAACCTCGAAGATAAAGGTTAAATGATGACCTTGAAAATTTGGAGAAAGAAAAACATTTAAAAAAAAACAACGTTTGCAGGATTCTGACCACTTAATATAATAAAAAAGATATTCTGGGGGTCAGATTTAAATGAGACATCTTGTGTTTTCCTGTAAATTTTGAATTCCACCAATTCAATTATGAATCACCCTTAGTAAATATATTTACGTAAATTTGTTGATTTATCTTTTTCTTTCGTGAATGCTTCCAGAGGCTTGCCGTGCGGTGTACAGCCCCCAGAACCGGTACCAGACCCCGATGGCGACAAACTGGCGACGATCGCGGCCCGTTTCAGCTACTTTCAAGAACGGAAGAGCTCGCTGGCCGCCTCAAAAGTCGATCTTCGTAGAAACATTAATCCGCCAGCCAGGTATAAAAATGCGAGACCAACGGTCCGGCTCAGGCCGCGGCAGGTGCTTTGCAGCAAGTGCAGATCGATCTGCAACGAGAACAGCGAGAACGTCGACGTCAGCCGGAAACGGAAGCACGACGAGGCTCAGCAGGAGCAACAGCAGCAGCCACAGCAGCAGCAACAACAGGTAAATACACGCTGTATCTTCTTGCAATGTTAACGGAAGATCAGAAAAATTCAATTAGAAATTTCGCAGGCTTCTAGGAAACCTCGATATTAGTTACAAATTTTTAACAATTCCATTGCGCAGTTTAAAGAGCATAAAGTGTCAAATATATTTTTATTGTAACCGTGTTTTTTTTTTTATATCTGTAGTAGTTTTCAAGATGTATGTAGAAAAGGAATGTAGGAAAACGGGTGTTCTTCGGTTGAGTTCGATGACTTGTTATTGATCTTTGGAGTGTAGAGACTAGTGGTAGATTGAAAATGGAGGAAAGAAGATGAAGTAGAGGTAGATGGGATGACGTATTGGTAATTGCGGTATACATATGTAGAGTTGCCTCAACTTTTTTGCAACGTGATAAAAGATTACACTTTGTATAATTAATGCTGATTGAACTCGACTCAATTTTGATTTATCTGTAGCATACAAAATTATAACACTATTGATACGAGCGATATTTAGCCTTTAAATCATCAACATAATATTTGCATAGTATAACTTCGAGAAACAGGATTAAGGAAGTTTGTTAGGTAAAAATTGAATCTCAAAGTTTCTCTTCCACTGTAATCTTCAGATTCCTATATCTGATTGATTCCTGGAAGTACATAAATTGTTTTTCTATCATCGAAATTATCTTTAATTGCATTTGATACGGCTCGTTTAAAACGATAGGTAAAAGATAGAATGAAATCGAAGTTCCTTTAAATGGAAGTTGACATTACTTAAAGTCCTACGATTCCAGAAAAACATAATTTCTCGGGAAAGTTAATGATTAATTACTACAAATCAGGTGATTTTTGATAATTGAAAATGTGTCTGTAAATTTTGTCTCTGAGTACATTTGGTATTTATTCTCAGTATACATATTCGGAGTTCATTCAGAAATCACATGATGATTTCCTTAAAGGAAATGTAACTCAATATTGTTGCCTTACGAAATATGCTTATATTGCACCCTAGATGCTGTCCAATGCAATAAAACTCGTAATTTCTCTTCTAAGGAAACGCAGTTTAGACGTACCAATCGATCAGTCGTCCAATATTTTCCACACCAGATAAATAATCGACTCAATTTATGTCGCAAGGAGAGACGGAAGGCCTTAAATACCGATCTACCAATTAGCGTTATATTTTATTAATCTATTTCCCAAGAGAAACGTGTTGCTTCGGGGTATTGGAAGGTTTAAATAGAGGCGACCTTACTGTCACTTCCTGTTCGCCGAAAGCAAGAAAACAAAAAACGCTTGACGCTTCAATTCGATTAGGTGACGGGTCATGGATCGACAAGAAGAAGCGATCGCCGTTGCGGCCAGCAGCCGCAAAAAGCTTCCAGGATACTGTTCTCCGAGTGTCAGACCGAGAACGTCGCGGTGTCCTCCCATCAGCCAACGAAATCCTCGTCGTCGTCCACGGCTCTGAGTCCCGACTCGTCGAAGCTGGCACCGTCTCTCATACCGAAAATCTCCAGACTCCAGCCGAGCGAAATCAATAACGCCACACAGCCAACCGGTTAGTTAGTTGATCCTTTCATGGAAGTTCATATTAATTCTAGCCAGACGAAATCCCGACAACGTTGAAACTTTCGAAATAATTCTATAAACCCTTGTTTTAAATAACAATATCGAAGTTCCAACAGAGCTTGTCTTTGTATTCGGAATTGAAAGATAACATCGCTATTTTCAGATATTCCTTCACTGTTCGCGGTTTGTATCCTGTTAAATGAATTTTAGGGAAGCGTGCGATTCCATAAATGAGCATTTATCAGGCTATAAATCGAAGTAGATCGATCGGATCCACGGAAGGGATAGATTGAACAGTTCAGAGAGAACAGGGGAGGATAACAGACCCCAGCCCCAAGTTTGCCATGAACCTAGATTTATTTCAAACATCCTTAAACCCCCTTTTCATTACTTTAATTTCGTTTTACATACATTACATTATACCTCAAAGTACAAACATTAAACTTCACAAAATGCTTCTACAACCTTTTTCGAAAAGTCCAGATTTGAGGAGATATTTCTAGTTTTAAATCATTTGGGGTCACTTTTCCCGCGTGTGCACGTCTAATTTAGACAGTACCTGCAATTCGATTAAAAATCCCGTACGTTGCCTTGAATCTTCCAGAGAAGGTGAAGATCGGCGAATCGTTTTGGAACAACCGACCGGAAGAGGATGACTTGTCGGGAAACGCGATGGAACCAACGGAAGAACGGATGGAGTCCACTGATTGCGACAGTAATCCGTCGATGGCGTACTGTGCCACGCCCAGGAGGCTCAGCAGTTCGTCGGTAGAGAGCGCTAAGATACCGGAGGAGGACGAGAAGAAGACCTTCGCGGCGGCGGACTCGACGATGAGGCCCAGGGCGGCTCGTGTGCCGCGAAAGAAACGTTCCGTGGGCTCGATGGAGGATCTATGGGACGAGACGGTGTTCGAGGATCCGACCAGAACTGCCAGGACCACGCCAGTGATCAAGATCTCGTTCGGTGCGCAAGGCGAGGGCACCGTGCTGAAGATACCTGCGAAAATACAGGATCCAGAGTATGAGCAGGAAACCGACGACGCGGAAGACGCACAGACGGAAACGGAAAGGGATCCGCTGGAATTGCCGAGGACCTTCGAGAACGAGTATGATTACCGCGAGGACTGCGAGGAGGACGGACAGGAGCAGGTGGATCCGCAGAAGCAAGGTGTCAAGGACGCTAGTGCGAAGGCCGCGAAACGGGCGTTGAAGAAGGCCAAGAAGGAGGCTAGGAGGAAAATGCTTGGTGGTGTCTCGCCGGCCAGATCGCCTTGCAATGGATCGCCAAGGTTAATTATCATAATGACTTTAGTAGCTATCTGTACTGTATATCCAATTCCTTCTCACAGAAACTTCCCACTCCTTGTTTCTCTGTTGCACTTCCAGCAAAGACTCTAGTGTCCTGATACCCTCCTCCATCCTTTTTGTCCTATCCAACTTGTCTCAATTTTTTCTTCTCTTCTAGCGTTCTTCTCCCTATTCATATAACCTAAACAAAGATGGCTGCCGCTCTACTGCTCTTACCACCGTGTTGCTTACCAATCCCCTTTTATCATCAGTCTGTATTGTTCTGTCTTCAGGTACAATCCTACCTACGACACATTATCGTACCACCGGCGCAAGCATAAAGTGAAGCATAAAAAGAAGCACAAGGAGGACCGGAAACACAAGAGCCAGCAGCAGACGACGAATCAGCAGCCTTGTCTGGAAACTGGCACGGGCAATCAACAGAATTGGAACGTCTTGCCGGGTAGCGAGTCGTACACAGCCATAAAGGAGCAGTGCCTCAAGCAGAAGTTGTCCATATCCCTGAAGCGATTGAACACGAACGCGTACGCTAGATGCGATTACCCGGTGAGCAACGCTTCGTCCGGTTGCAAGAGTCCTGGCGCCAGCAGCGACGAGTTGAGCGAACAGGAGGTGGAACCGGAGGTCGACGCCGGTGAAACTGCCCCGGACTTTCCCCCGCAGTCTCATCCCTTGATGATGCGACTTGCAGCCACACCTGTCGAGCATTGCCTGACCGCGAATGGCAGAAGAATGGATGTCGGTGACGTCGTATGGGGAAAGATTCATGGATTCCCTTGGTGGCCTGGAAAGGTGCGTGTTAAACCAGTCTGATAAACATACAACTTTCCTCTATGTGCTATAGCGATAACAGTATGAATACGCTAAACGTACACGTTGAACGGGTCAGCAATAATTGAACAACGGATTTTGTGTACTCATAGTAGTTGTAACTTCAAGTGGTTACTTATCAAAATGTTGTGTTATTATGACAGGTTCTTAGTATCACAGTGTCCTGTAAAGAAGATGGCACATCGTCCGGGCCGCAGGCTCATGTTGCTTGGTATGGATCCTCGACAAGTTCTCTGATGTCGTGCGACCAGCTGAGTCCATTTCTAGAAACATTCAAGGTAAAAGAACTAAATACTGTACTAAAGGAAGATAAATCTACATAGCTGACAGATTAACTTATTCTGGTTATGAGAATCCCTCTGTATCAGTCTTTGCCCATTTTTTTAAAACTGTAACCCTCGTAGCTTTAATAGAAATATAGGAGAAGAGTATTTTTCAATCCAACTGTCCTCTCAAGATGTATTTAGTGGATATCATTTTTATTTCTCAGTTATTATAAGTGTCAGTCGTTGTATTTTTTTGTTAAAGACCCGGTACAACAAGAAAAAAAGGGGCCCGTACAAGGAGGCGATACGGCAGGCGCAGAACGAGGCCCGAAGTCAGATCACGCCTAACTCGACGAGCAGCGTGCTAAACGTGTGCGGCTCGCCGCGCGAGGTGAACGTCCTCTCCTAAGGGAAGGTGCACAGCCACCTAACACCATTCCTCTACTGCCGGCCGATCCGTCAGCCCGTGCATTCTCTAATCGGGGCGGATCGAGTCTCGTCGTGTAATATATAGGAAAGATTTGTACATAACACATAGCGTTAATGAAAAGAATAGCTCTTTGGATCGATGTTCTTATCCAGTCGCGAGGCTGTTCCCGTGGCTCGTACGCGATGGCTCACGGGGGCCCCGGAATCGACTCAAAAACAGGAAAAAGAAAAGGAAGGCAAAAACACGGAAATGAAACGAAATTGAAGTTTACTGCCGTCACTGGCACGCGTTTTTTTATCCTCAGCTTTTGGGGGCGAATGTCTAGCGTGTAAGGAAGTATTTAGATAGGGTTATATCTAGGTGATAATAATGTGTCGGCTCTCGAGAATCATTCTTTTCGTATTTGAAATTGTGACTGCATCGATAGCTGGGACGACGGGCGTCGTCGTTGACGATTGCACATGCTCGTTACTTAAATTCTTTATATACAATACGTTCATATATACATATATATATATATATATATATATATATATATATATATATATATATATATTTGTATTACAATTTCATTGTGATCATTGTCGGGAATATTCTTCAGGCTGATCCAGTGCGGGCAGTGAATCTTCGATGCAACATGTTCGCCGGACATTGGCAGATTAATGCGATCGTTAATCACCGCAATTTTGTCGTGTATCATGGATGACAGGATTTTAAATGGACAATATCTTTGACGAGCGACGTTGCGTCGTATTGATGATTGTTTGCATAATTGCAGAGTATCTGTGGATCTGTTGGTTTCAGTTCGAACAGCTTTAACAAACATCACAGCTGTGTAGGTTGATTCTGGCAACTGGAATTAGATAGGTATTGAAAGGTGTTAGACACTCTATAGTTTAGTGCAATATAATTACGAGACAATTTATTGTTGTTTTTTTTTAATCGGTTAGAAGTATTAAGTTGTTGCCTAGGAAATGGTGGAATTTTCTAATCAAGATTACTAACAAAGTTCACTACTTTTCCAGCTAAATTAAAAATTGGATTTCCTCAATTGTGACGGATGAAGGTAAATTTACGTTTATGCTCAAGATTAAAATCAGTTTGAACTTATAGTGAGAAGATACGTACTAATAATTTTAAAAAACCATAGTAGACTCTATTCAGTTGTAAGAATCATTCTTCATAGTTAAACTAACGAAATTACTCTTACGAAAAACTAATAGCTTTTAATTGGATCTTTTTTTTCAGTAAAACGATTTACAGAGTGCTGAATCCACAAATGGATTTTTCGCGACGTTTCTTACTCTGCATTCGTTATCATCTGAAAATTAAAATTAGGCCCGTGATAATCAACAACGAGACTCGAAATATGAGACACGTGACATTTATTATTCAGTGCATATAACTAACTTATTATGGTTACACACATTTCCAAGAATAATTCAAGAATTATGCCTTACCTATAAAGCCACGTATTTAATATAATAATAGTTTTTCTCCATGTTTAACATTCGAACCTTTTCAACGATTCCATGCTTTATTGAAAAATACAGTGTAATTTTAATGATTCTCTAATTACACCGAGCAGTGTGTGTCCATTTAAAATCGAATCATAAAACGCACCAAAATATTCCATCCCATTTTCGTCGTCGTGTTTCAGCTTTCAAGACTTCGACTTCATTATCACCTGCTTAGCGACTTACGAGTTTCCGTTTACGCTTCGTCTAAACACTGCCAAGGAATGCAATAGTCAGTTCGTTTCGAGTTAACGGTGTCGTTGGGAGACAATTTTTCAGTCTCGACTACAACAAACAGCCATCTAAAAAAAAAAAAAAACAATGGACGGTGAATTCCGACCCTACGACGTGACCAAAAGTTTACAAACAAATTACGACAACCTCCCCCTCCCAAAGGTATATACAAAATTTCGTATAACATTAATTTTACTTTATTCGAGTAGAAGAAGTCGAGCGATTCGGAATTCACTGGCTTCTACTTAACGTCTGTCATTTAAATTACGAAACGAAAAACCACTTCCTAATCATCGCGATCATCCGGTGAAGTTGGGTCCCAGCCGCGTGTTCCGATTCGTCGATCATTTTTCCTCCCTCCCATATGCCTCGTTCGATCGTGACAATTAGTACTTAAGCGTTTCTGACTTTCTCTTCGCACGTCGAGGGGTCTGCTACTGCCTTGCGGACTTTGTTTCCGCGACTGCTTGTTGCTATTGGCCCCTCGTCGCGACTTCCGGTTGCGATGAACTGCTAAAATTCGTGGCGTTGAACGAGGATCGCGTCGTGTTTCACCGTGAATCTCTACGAATTCTCTATTGGTTCGACAAAACGTGAACAGAAACGACTCTCATATTTGTTTCAATTATATGTTTTCAAAAATCGAGATTCAGATGAAACTTAAGACTTCGGTCTTTTATTCTTTCGACGCACTCGAAGTGTTAATGGACAGAAACATGAGAATTATTTAACGACTAAATCCATCGGGATCGATCTTTCTGATGAATTGTCGAAGTGAAATTTATTTGCTCGGAGAAACTGGCGTTCTAGACCGAAATATTTTTGTCACACGGAGAATCAACTGTATTTAGTTTCCGAGTAAGCTGTAGATACAAATTAACGAACTCTTTTTTTCATTCGTATTTTTTTTATACCTTTTTTTTTTGAACGCAGCGAGTGTTGTATTTTACGAAGAATGTTGCCATGTTTTTGCGCGCGTGGAGATTAGATGCATTGTGCGGCGATAAATAGTTCGAAACCAGATCGAGGTGAACGTATACAAGTTTATCAGTCGGCAAAGTAAATAAGTAATTAGCGCGTGACGAAACGATTTGATCACCTTGTCCAACGTTATAGAACGTGTGCTCCACTGAAAGTGTCGTGACGAAGAATCGTCGAAGTTAGTTTTTCTTGTGAGTATAAAAAGAAAATTCGATCTAAACTTGTTTTTTGGGTTGGATGTCGGATTTGAAAAATTCTGAATTGCTGTCACTTCACTTCCTTTCACATTTCATCGTACTCCTTTTTTTCTTTTGCTGTTGAATTTTACTGTTTCAACAGCAGAAATCGTCATCTAACTGCCATATATTCGAGTATACGTAAAGAATTACAGTACCGATGAGTCTGTTCTAGATACTCGTGAATAAATTCGACGAAATCTATTTCGAAAAGGCACTGTTTTGTTTATACGAAGATAATTGTATGTCTGGAAAAGTTCTGCAATTGAATGGAGCATAATCGATGACTCCTTTTAATGGACAATATTCGCTGATATTAATCAGTAACGCTTCTGAATATTTTAATATTTAAATTTACCATGTTTTATGGTAAAAATATAATAATTCTTTGTTAACAATCGATTGGTGATTTATTTAAGGAAACGTACAAAGTCTTTGAGTTTATTTAGATAAATTAAATAAGACCCTACTGGCCACTTTTATCCATTTGTACATACATCTATTTTTTTCTCGAAAAATTGTAAATAAATTATTCCGAGAAATAAAATCAGACAGAATATTCTGTACAATTTTCGAATCCACATGATTATACGGTAATTTTCGAGGCCCCCGTATATTAACTTCCGGTTAGAGCCTCTAATTGAAATCAATTCAAAGATACAAGAGAAATATGTTTCTTGAATTCTAAAAAGCAAAATGAGCGTGAGTTTTGCACAATTTGAACAATATTACCCGCGAATAATGATTTGAGAAAAGAAAACAAGTCCTGAACCAAAATGGCGCGCCGGAAGTCGCGCTCGAAGCACGCGGATGAGTACTCGGCCGCTGCGACGTCTTTATTTAATCGCTATGTCTGTTTCCGCGTAGATCAAGATGTGCGTGATTGTTTGTGAATTAACTTTTGAATTATCGGGAGGGTATCGAGTTAAGTGAACGACAGAAACAGCAGCGGTAGAGAAAGTGGACGCGACGGACTAAAGATGTGTTTTTAAGTAACTGTGATTTTTTCAGATGTTTTATATAAATACGAAATGAATTAATTTCTACGCATAATGTAAACGATGTTGTTTCAATGTCGCTCTGTGTTTATACGGATGCCGTAGAACATTTTTTGGACTAACATATCGGTAGTGAAAGAGAAAAGTGGAGAGAGAGAGAGAGAGAGAGAGAGAGAGAGAGAGAGAGAGAGAGAGAGAGAGAGAGAGAGAGAGAGAGTGAGAGTGGGAGAGAAAGGGTGAGAGCGTTTTTAGCGACGAGTAATTATCGCTATTATTGTCACCGATTCACGTATTAATTCGTAATTATTATATCGATTATTATTACGATAGGTATGTGCGAGTGCGTTGCCTAATCTTCACACGAAGTTCAATTGTTGATTGCTTATTGTACGAGCCTCGTGTTGTCGTCTCGCTGTAATCAATTGTATTCAGTGACGTATCATATACACAGAAATACACACCACATATACACAAAGAAACCAACACACACACACACGCAGCACAGAAAACACGAACTTTTCGTCGCCTCCCATCGAAAGGATCGCCGTTCGCCAAGATACGAATTGTTCTTTTTTTTCTCTTATTTTTCTTTTGTCTCTTCTATCTTTTCCACCCCCCCTCCCTTTTTTTTGCAATCGACCTCTCATTGACTGTTCCTAAAACGCCACTGTACACGCTGGACCTTCCGTTCGAGCAGCGAGCATTGACGGAAAATTGTGAAGCTAAAACGCGTTTTTTTAACGATCCCTACATGTGATTCGGAACCGATCGATTCTTTTTTTTTCGGTTGCAGTTCGATTTTGCAGGTGGATCTAGTTGTGTGCTGTTTCGATAATCGATGGTAAATAATGAAAATTTCCCTTGTTTGATATAACGATGAAAATTACGCAGCGAATCGGAAGCTATCCCAGAACCTATTATTTCTGGACTCACCTTCAGAATTTTCGCTGCTCGACGGAGGTGCGGCTCTGTCCTGAAAAGAAGTGTTCATTTTTTGAGAATCCACTATGTGGAGGTAAGACATAACATTAACGTTGTATCATTCACGCAGAGGCGAATGATGAATTTTTGGGATCAAACGAACGGAGCCTGAATAAACGGTCTTTTTTTCTAATGAAACCAATCGTAACCGTCTGTTACGAGAAGTTATTGAACAACTAATTTCCCTGGAGATGTAGGTGACATTCTAAACATAATTTAAAATTTATCGCTAACTTTTTATAGCGAATATGGCATATAGTAATGGTAGTAATTGTGAGTTTAAAAATAGCGTTCT